ACCGTCCTGCTGTCTGTATCAACCAACGCCTTTTCTGGGCTCTGATGAGCGTCGGCCGCAATGCGGCGCCGTAACCCGGCGTTCGGTTCATCCCGCAGCGCCAGTCCTGCTTACCAAGAATGGCCCACTGGGCGCCCGTGCATTCCGGGCCCGGCCCCGAGCCGGCGGGTCGGGCCCCGCACCAATTTAAAGTTTGAGAATAGGTTGAGGTCGTTTCGGCCCCAAGGCCTCTAATCATTCGCTTTACCGGATGCAACTGTTTCCCGGGCGCCAGCTATCCTGAGGGAAACTTCGGAGGGAACCAGCTACTAGACGGTTCGATTAGTCTTTCGCCCCTATACCCAAGTCGGACGATCGATTTGCACGTCAGAATCGCTGCGGACCTCCACCAGAGTTTCCTCTGGCTTCGTCCTGCTCGGGCATAGTTCACCATCTTTCGGGTCCTAGCGTGCCCGCTCTTCCTCCGCCACAGCCGCGGGGGGCTCGTGGCAGGGCGGCGGTGCGCCGGCCGCCTGGCGGCCGGATCCCGCCTCGGCCGGACCGGAGCCGGCCTTCACTCTCGTTTCGCCTCGGGGCCTCGCACTGCGGCCCCCCGACTCGCGGGCCCGATAGACTCCTTGGTCCGTGTTTCAAGACGGGTCGGCAAGGCTCGCCACAATCGCCCGCGGACCCGGGGCGCCCTGTCGCGGCCGACACCGGACCGCGCGGGAACCGCCGCACCGCCGCCACCGGGAACGGTCGCGGCGGGCGGAGCTCGACCGCCGGCCCGGGCGGCCCGGCCCGAGGCGCCGAAGCGCCGGGCAGGCGCGGCCCGTCGTCCCTTCCTCGATCGGACCGCCGGCGCAACCACGGCCGGGCTGTAGGCTCTCCGACCGGCTCCCCCGTCGGCGAGCCGGCTTGGCCGGAGGAACCCCGCCCGGCCGGCCTCTGCCGGCGACTGTGCCCGACCGGTCGCGGGCGCCGCGCCCGGGAGAAGTGCACGCGGCACGGCGCGCGGAGGCGCCACCGGGCCCCGCCCCACGCAGAGGAGGGTGCGGGGCCGCGGCTGGCACCGCGCCGGCCGCGCTGAATCTCCCGGGCCCGATCTGCGCGGCCCTCCCGTTTGCTTCTCGGCGGCTTCACGTACTCTTGAACTCTCTCTTCAGAGTGCTTTTCAACTTTCCCTCACGGTACTTGTGCTCTATCGGTCTCGTGCAGGTATTTAGCCTTGGATGGAGTTTACCACCCGCCTTTGGGCTGCGCTACAAAACAACCCGACTCCCGGAAGCCCTGGTCCGCGACCGGCCGGCGCCCGCAGGGGCCTGACACCCGCCCTGGGACGTGTGGGGCCTCGATCAGAAGGACCTCGGCGCCGACGCGGCCGCAGGCTCGGACTTCCTTACGCCACAGTTCCCGCGGGCCCGCGTGGGGCCCGGGGATTCGGCGCTGGGCTCTTCCCGCTTCGCTCGCCGCTACTGGGGGAATCCTGGTTAGTTTCTTTTCCTCCGCTTAGTGATATGCTTAAATCCAGCGGGTCCTCTCGCCCGACCTGAGGTCGATGGTTCAAAGGTTTAGTTTGTGCCACTCGCTTCTCTTCGCGAGGTGTCTCGTTTGTTTTTGGTTCCGTGCCTCCCCGGGAGCCCGCCCGGCGCGCCCGTGGGGTGGGCGCTGCCAAGGAGGGGGGCTCCCCTCCGCGGCCCGTCAGCGCGGGCCCTGCCTCTTCCTCTAACCGGCGGACTGGCCCGCCTCTCGGCCCCTCGCTCGGTCGCGGTGCGGACACCGGCGGCCTTCGGCCCCGGCCGGAACCGGGGACTGCTCCCGTCGGCGGGGCCCTCCGAAACCGTGGGTGGGGCGGATAACTAAAGCCGACCGGCCACGCCACGGCGGATTCCCCGGGAGCGCCCCGGAACGGCTCGCCAAAGCCGCACCGGGCCGGTGCTGGCCGCCCGCGACCGGGGCGGGAGAGAGCGGGACGCGTCGGGACGCCCGTCCGGTTCGCCACCTCGACACCTCGGAATTTCTCGGATCCCCTCATGCCGCCTGCAGCTAGTGTCCTCGCGGGGGAAGGGGGCCCCCGCGGCTGCCGGCCGGCGCTGTCGCGCCGCGCGGACGGGCAAGGGTCTGCCCGCCGCGGCGGCGATTTCTAACATCACGACCCTCAGGCGGACGAGGCCCGGGCCGCGGGGGGCCCGGGCCGCCATGTGCGTTCGAAATGCCGATGATCACTGCGTTCTGCAATTCACACTGATTCTCGCAGCTGGCTGCGTTCTTCATCGGCGCACGAGCCGAGTGATCCACCGCCAAGAATTGTCACTCGTTTATTGGTTTGGGGAACCGCACTACTCTGTCGATCACCGTGGGATGACCGCGCCGGTGGTCGGCGGCGCGGAGCATCAGAGTCAAAAGACCACCAGGGCGGGAGCCGAACCGATGGGGGGACCGGGCGCCTCTGCGGGGCGGCCCCTTCCCCGGGGGCCGCCGGCCGCGGTCCGGCGCGGCAGCCGGACAAAAAACCGATCCC